GAAAGCGAAACTACTTTGTTTGGTCTTCCAAAAGACGACGATATCTGCTTCGTCATGCCTGGAGCTGATCTGTACTGGTCACTGAGGAAATACTTCAACTTCGCGCTGTCGATCGCCGGATTGGCTTTCAACATGGACGAAGTGGAGTCAAGCCCGGGGTCGTCACATGTGGTTGCCGCAGGCATCACAATATGGTAAGGGACCTAACATTTCCGTCACACGCTTGAGGAATTCGGCCAATCACAACGCACTGGATAGCTGGCCAATCAGAGCACACCTCGCTTTTTCAGACCGATGAGCTTTGTACAAATCGACATGTTTCAGAAAGGCGGGGCATAGAGGAGAAACAATAATGTACAGTATGTGGAAAATAATGTGTTTTTTGAACCTTAAACCGCATAAACACATTTCATTACACCAAATACACAAAATAATGTTCTTTTTAGCAGCATCATATGACCCCTTTAATAATTATAGCATTAAGTCACGGGTCTCATCTATCCATAGGGCAGTCAGCAAATGCTGCAAATGTATCAACTGTGATCTGTGATGGCTGTATTTATCTCACTTCTGCTGGTGTCACTTACTGCAACCCAATAATGATGCTGGAGGCTTGAGCTTTGTAAATGGTCTCTGAGGACAAGCAAAAGATGGACACATATTCACCATGCCAATGTTGTAAGCATAAAAATGCAGTAAATTATGCAGTTATTATATTAACATGCCCCGGTCTTGTGTTAAAGGCTGAAGATTAAGCCACTAAATAAAGTCCTTATAACAATCATCACTTAGCATAGTCATGGGATCATTAAGCTCTAAGAAATATACTACAATGGGTACAGAGTAAAAACATGTAAATACACCAATCATGAACCATGCATGGCACTCTACCTTTTTTTAGGGTGGGCTCCTTTTTCTGGACTCCTTTTTAATGGTTAAATTAAATTGTATTAATCAAAAAAACATGTCTAATAATTAATTATCATGAAACTTAAACAATTTAACATCAGTTTATCAAAAGTGTAACAAAAATTACGTTTAGGGCCCACTTGTTTTATTTTTTCCAACCTTGTTTGTTTTATTGTTGCCAAATTCTGTGTTTTAACATATCTAATTATTTGAAAGCATAAAAACAAGTTTCATTTATTCTTACAATATCCTAATTATTTTTTTCCTCAGAAAATTCTGTGTTGTGTATTTAAATTTTTAAGGCATAAAACAGTCATTTAATTTATCTTTTAATTAATGAAAATGTAAAAAAAATTATTTTTGGAAAATAAAGGGGAATTAATATTACAATTAAAACACTGAAGAAATATTGTATGATTATTCCTTAAAAATAAGGTTTTAATAATTTTGTAGTAGTAGTAGCCTATTATGTACATTCTACTGACCAATAGAAACATATTTCTGCCGCAATGTCTTCAAGTTAAACCGAACTTTTATTTTGAAGGGTTGCTGTGAATACCTTTACATTTCTGTGTGTATACGATATGAGGATAGTTTTACTCAAATGGAAGTGGATATTTTTATGCTTAAAGTGGCTTATGTACGGATGAGCCCCACACATGACATGCAGGAAAAAAATTAGTAAAGCGTGCGCACAATATAATTTGTTCCCTCGTTTTACTAAATCATGCGCACAATTTACTAACTCGTTCTCTCCTTTTAAGTAAATTGTGTGCACGATATAATAATTAATCGGTTGAGTTGATTCAACTAAATCCTGGCCACGATTGCGTCACAATAAAATGAGAAAACGAATTCGTGCTCACGATTTCAATTTTTTCCTGCATGTCACGTGCGGGGCTCCGTATGCTTTACGCAGGACTTAAAAATGAAAAAAAAAGGCTTCACTCCAAGCATAATCAGTTAGCGTTATTTTTTAAACTTTGTCTTTGCAAAAATAATAATAATAATAATAATAATAATAATAAAGTACAGCGGTTGGCTACAAGAAAAGAAAAGAAAAGAAAAGAAAAGAAAAGAAAAGAAAAGAAAAGAAAAGAAAAGAAAAGAAAAGAAAAGAAAAGAAAAGAAAAGAAAAGAAAAGAAAAGAAAAGAAAAGAAAAGAAAAGAAAAGAAAAGAAAAGAAAAGAAAAGAAAAGAAAAGAAAAGAAAAGAAAAGAAAAGAAAAGAAAAGAAAAGAAAAGAAAAGAAAAGAAAAGAAAAGAAAAACACAAAGAGAGTCTTGATCTCGTAGTCCGCGCTAAGTCATAGCCAGCATCATCTTTTCTAGATTTTGGCAAAATGTTTTAAACGAAAAAAACTGTCAACGCTTTAAAGACATTAAAGTATTTTTTCAAGATATTTAAAATGTTTGCTGCATGGTTAAAAAAAGGCCACTTGTATAAAATTGTGTTTTGAGAGGAAAAAACATACATCGCATTTTACATTCAGAAATAATGAACGCTAAAATAAATCAAAATGTTTACAAACATTATATTTTATTCCCTTCCCTCCACAACAAATCCTCTAAAGTTAACAGTATTTAGGCTACATATTCCTAAATCCTACATAGTCAAGCCAAAAACGAATTAATTTAAAGGGAAACTGAAGCCTACCTCTCTCGTTCGGCACGAATCCATATGTTTCCATATGCTGCGATGTCAAGGTAGCAAAAATGTTGTGCGTGTGAGGTGCCAGCGCGATCACTGCATTGTTTTCCCAACGGTTAATCGTAATTTAGTCATATACCAATGCTGGTTGGTCATACAATCAAGACATCATTTATCACTGTAGCCTTGACAAAATAATAATAATAATAATAATAAAGAAAGAAGGAAAGAATGAATGAAAATAAAAGAAAACTGTAAAGCTTTTGCAAAATAGAGAAAATGGGTCCGTGTACGTTGCGTTCTTTCATTTTTTTATTTAATATTGAAAACAGAAACATGAGAAAACTGCACCATTTTCATTTTTTCAAAAACATGAAAAGACAAGAATTAGCCTTAATTTTTCGTTTTTAAATTCAGGGGTAGAAAATGGATAAACAGCTTGAATGTTCGATTTCAAGGGAAATCGTGTGGGAGGGAATTAAACGCCCCTTTTCACTGATTGGTCATGCAAAAATTAAACGGTGCCGTCATGTCGTCTTCAGTTCTGTGCAACAGAATAAGAGTCCTCCACTATTAAGGTGTTTATTGTAACTCCTTCATTTCATCTCTCTCTCATCAAACTACCAGACTAACAAATGGACAGGGTTTACTTCTGTGTAGGCATAGTTTCTCTATGGCAAGTATTAGGTGCTTATTGCAGAAATATGTATGTACCTCGGATCTGCAGCCACATTACCCTTTTAGTCTATTTCTTTGGCGCACCGCACATTTTATTTAGCTGTCCAGTTATCAAAATCTGTGTGGCAAAGCTGCGTGACGCACTGGACAACACGGGGCGAATGCATTTACATTATAGTGAAGCGCAGACCAGTATTGATTTTAGTGTGAATACGCAGAAGTCATAACTTTTATTTTAGACAGTACAATTTCATTAATAATGAGTATGAATTGGTTTCATATTAGACACAAAACAGTGTGTTTTATTTGACTTAAAACACAGGCATTTCATTCTTGAATGAATCCGAGTCTTTGAATTAATCGTTTGTGTGAGTGGTTCAATGACCCACCCACTTGTTTTGCTCCTCAATAAATCAGCATTTTGAACGAATCGGTTGAATTGATGACTCTATGACTCATTCATCAACACAATGACTTGCCGCCCCCTACTGGTGATGTAACCTTCATAATTCAAGTATCCTATTGTTTAATTTTGTTACTCATTTCATATTTATGTAGGCTATTCAGAATGTTTTTGTTTAAAACATTAATCTCATTCCATTATGCGATTGCTGTGTTAATGCATTTACTGCCGTCTGAGCAGCATTAATTGTGTAAATACATCTAAATTCAACTTAAGATGCAGCTTCTGTGCCACAGTGCAAAGATGGCTTTGGTTGGTACTGATGTAATTGGTAACACCTATAATGTCATATTTTTCAAATATTGACTATATTCAGGAATTTAATATTAAAGGTGACAGACATATTTTATAAAGTTAGAAAAATGCCCTTTTATAAAAAAAATAGCATGTATTATGTACACGTGTAACATGCCGTCGGATAATAACAGTATCATATAAACTTCTCTATGAAAAAAAAAACTCGAAATAATAATCAAAACGGTAAGATAGCTTTATATTCACACTAAAACCGATACTGGTCTGCGCTTCACTATAACGTAAATGTCACGCAGCTTTGCCACACAGATTTTGATAACTGGACAGCTAAATAAAATGTGCGGTGTGCCAAAGAAATAGACTAAAAGGGTCATGTGGCTGCAGATCTGAGGTACATACATATTTCTGCAATAAGCACCTAATATTTGCCATACAGAATCTATGCCTACACCGAAGTAAGCCCTGTCTAGGCGTTGCCCCAGTATGGTTTGTGTCAAGCCATTTGTTAGTCTGGTTGTTTGATGAGAGGGAGATGAACGCAGGAGTTGCAATAAACGCTTTAACAGTGGAGGACTCTTATTCTGTTGCACAAAACTGAAGAAGACATGACGGGACCGTTTGATGCTTGCTTGACTAACGGTGCGTTTCATTCCCTCCCAAATGTGGAAATCGAACATTCAAACTGTTTATCCATTTTCTACCCCTGAATGTAAAATTTGAAAATCAAGGCAATTTCTTGTTTTTTCTTTTTTTTGCAAAAAAAAAAAGAAAAACGAAAATGGTGCTGTTTTCTCACGTTTCTGTTTTCAAATTTAAATTAAAAAAAACAGAC